CTCAAATTATTTTCTTTTTAATTTTTTGACCGATTTTGCATGCTATATCTAGTATTCTGAACAACTAATTTGAAGAAAACAGAATGGAATATAGCAACCACTATTTTTTGTTTTTTATTATTTTTAATTATTTTATGTATTTAATACAGGCTCTGGGGCCTGGGAGATAGCTCAGTAGAAGAAGCACTTGCCTGGCAAGCACAAAGCTCTGAGTTCAATCCCCAGTTCTGCCAAAAAGAAAAAAGAAAACATTACCAGGAAAAAAACAACAACAACAACAAAAACCACAACTTATTCCAGGGTCTGAAGAATCTCACTATACAGATTGGACTCGTGGTGATCCTCCTGTTTTCAGCCTCCCAAGTGCTGGGATTACAGGCAAGGGCCACCATACCCAGTCTAAGTTGCTGTCTCAGTGTACCCCAGGGGCCAGGCCAGCATGGCACATCTGGATCAAATCCCAGTCCTCTGTGCCTGCCCAAGCAGACACTTTAGTCCACTGAGCTATCCAGCCATCCCTGTTTTTTTATTCTTTTTAAAAAATAAAAAATAATAGAGAAGAAAAATATAGCATTAAAAATGATACAGGAGGGGGCTGGTGAGATGACTCAGCGGTCTAAAGCACCTACTTACAACAAGCTAAGCTAAGCAAAGCACAGGGACCATGGTTCAATCCCCCAGCACCACATGTCAGCCAGCCCCGCCCCCTGGTGTGCTGAGCTGGCCACTCACACAAAAAAAATAAACAAATAAATAAAAAAAAATGATACAGGATTTCACTAGACAAATAGGAATTCAACAATAGTTGCTGTATTACATTATATCTTCAAATGAGCTGTTCAGATTAGATATATACGAGTAAGATTCATTGAAAGAAAAAAGGGAATAACAAAGAGTTATAAGAAATTCAGAAGAGGCAAAAAATGAGATTAAAAAAATACTTCAATATTAAGTGTTCCTTTCAAAAGACTAGCAGAAATCAACAATACAACTGTCCAAACTATTCTAAATATATACCTAAATATATCTTTTTCCCTTCTTTCATTTGTCCTTTACCTTACCCCAGCTTTTTGATCCTGTTGAACAATTTTTCCCTTTCATAGTATCTGTTGTACTTTGTGGATTTTCATTATTATTTCAGGTTCTTGCACTCTTGAGATAATACGATGCTTGCACATGTGGTTCTGATTTATTGCACTTACCAATACAGTCACTAGTTGAATCCATTTATCTACAAAACTTCAAATTAATTCCTCATCATTTTGTTTAGTTGGGGGGAAAAAGGAGAGAAGTCAATAATATTCATAAGATGGACACTGGGGGTGCAGTATTTTGATCAGACAATACTGCCTCTATGGAAAGATTTCTCACTTTTCTGGGCATTCGATTTTCTATATCATGGGGCAGTAACTGAACTGTTCATTCCTACAGCCTGGCAGCTTTTTTAACTTAGAGCAGTGTTCATGGTTCCACAACACTAGAGTCTAATTTGCATTAGAATTTATCACCAAGATGAAAGACCTCTGTCTCCAGTTTTATTAGTGGAGGGAGGATGCAAAGGAGAAATGATGAGAAGATGCTCTCTGGCACTGTCCTTTTCCTTTGGTTTTTCTAAGCATCTTTGTTTTCATATGGCAGCACTGGCCTTGGCTTGTCTAAACTAGTGATACTTTTTATCATATTTAGCTTTACGACTTTCATGAGGGGAAGACAATATCACCCAGTACCAGAAAACATTAGAGGCAAGTGCTACAGATTCAGGCTGTTTGCGTGCTAACATTGCTGGCTTATTCCTCACGTTTGTGAGAGAAGATACTATATAAGAAGAGTTGGATGTCATATGATGTAATCTTTCTTTCCTATGTCCACAGATTCTGTAGAGAAGAATGGCTCCTGGAAATGGCTCTTTTATAAATGAATTCATTCTAATGGGGTTAACAGATCGGCCAGATCTCCAACTCCCACTGTTCTTCCTGTTTCTAGTAATGTATGTGGTCACTGTGTTTGAAAATTTGGGCTTAATAACTCTAATTGAGTTAAGTTCACATCTTCACACTCCCATGTACTTTTTTCTCTTTAACTTGTCCTTTGTTGACCTTCATTATTCTTCTGTATTTACACCAAAAATGCTCATGAACTTTGTATCAAAGAAGAATGTTATCTCATACAGAGGGTGTATGACCCAGCTCTACTTTTACTGTTTTTTTATCATTTCTGAATGCTATGTGTTAACAGCCATGGCTTATGATTGCTATGTGGCCATCTGTAATCCACTTCGGTATAACACTGTCATGTCCCCTAGAGTGTGTTGTAGCCTTATGCTTGGCTCATACCTGATGACATTTTCTGGGGCCATGGCCCACACGGGTTGCATGCTGAGACTGACCTTCTGCGACGCAAACACCATCAACCACTATTTCTGTGACATTCTTCCTTTGCTTCAGCTCTCCTGCAGTAGCATTCATGTCAATGAGCTGGTGGTTTTCATTGTAGGGGGCATCAACATCATTGTACCCAGCGTCACCATCTTTTTGTCTTATGTGTTCATTGTCTCTAGTATATTTAAAATAAGCTCCATTGAAGGTAAATCTAAAGCTTTCAGCACCTGCAGCTCCCATATAATTGGAGTTTC